GCCCCCTTTTTCTCCTAATTTTTAGCACTGTCAGGCAGCGCTGAGAAAGGCTAGTGAGGAATGGAACAGCTCCTTATAGCTTGGCTTGCGTGATCTAAGTTGTACATTGATCACAAAAGAAGCTGTAATTAGCCCAAAGCAACTATTTTTTTAAGGGAGGGGAGTGCAAAATGGCATTTGTCTAAAATGAGAGGAGGACAGGTATCCCCCCCCCAGGGAAGATCCTAACCAGGACACCAGAGGGATCTCGAGGCATCACTGCTCCCTTCACAGGCCCCCTCCAGGTCCTCTGGAGTTCATCCTGTCTTTGAAGGCTTCCTTGTTGTCCTGCAGGTATTAGCTCTTTTTATAAGCACCAGGATGCTGATGCTCAGATTGGCACCTGCCTAAAATTGTGTTGCCACTAATGGGCAACACCTGGACTGAAATCTAAGCACTTCGGCCACCAGCGACAGGCTATGGTCTTTGGTAGATGCCCTTGGAGGTGGGTAGAGAAGGGGAGCTGCTCTCTTCACACATGGGAAGCAAGGCTCAGCAGATTAAGTGGCCAACGTGACCAAGGTTCTGTGCCCTTAATGGTGGTGCAAGGGTTCGAGCTCGGCAGTTTCTCCAGCTTGCTGCTCACAAGGACTCCGTAAGTTTGGAAGATTTATCACTCAGCTAAGAAAGAAATATTTGAGACTGAAGAAAATTAGGGATTCTAAAATTGATCATCTTGGCTAAAGAATGATCTCAAATTCCACTTCCATTTGGAGCACCAGTATGAAACATGCCCTATGTGTACAAACCATTTTTTAACACTTTCAGTTTTGTAGACAATTAAGACTCCCAAGAACTTTTGCCAGTAGTACCATGTGTTCCTGTGTACTATTCATCCAGCTTCCCCTGTAATGCATCTCACCCACGCATAGTCCATTATCAAAACCAGGAGATCAACTTTGGACTATGACCATAATTCAACTAGAGACTTTTTCAGATTTCACCAGTTTTTACATGCAGTCATTTTGTGCATGGTTCTGTGTGTGTCTAGTTGTATAAAAGTATTGCATATACAAATTTCTGCAGCCAGCACCACAGCCAGGATACAGAACTCAGCGCCACAGAGCAGGTCCCTCCTGGCACTGCCATTGCAATTATATGCTCCATCCTGACCTAACCCCTGGAAACCACTGATCTGTTCTCCATCACTTTAATTTTGTCATTTTGAGAGTGTTATATAAATGGAATTATACACTATGTAACCTTTTAAGATCAGCTTTTAACTACTTAGTGTAATATCTTTGAGATCCATACAAAGGCAAGTGGGGTATGTCCACGGGTGTATCAAGAGTTTGATCCTTTTTAATAAGTAATAATATTCTATTTTATGGATGTACCACATTTTGTCCATTTACCTAATAGACATTTGGGTGGTTTCCATTTGTGACAAATAAAGCCTCTGTGATAAACATTCATGTACTGGTTTTTGTGTGGTCATAACTCATCATTCCTCTAAGATGAATACATAAGAGTATGATTACTGAGTTCTACAGAAAATGTGTGTTTAGCTTTATAAGAAACCACCAGCCTATTTCCAGAGTGGATGTACCATTTTGTATTACCATTTAAACAGTAATTCAGATGTCATTACCCTTTTGATATCTATAGGGTCTGTAGAGATGTCCCTTTTTTTCCATTCCTGGTATTGGTAATTTGTGCCTTTTCTCTTTTCTTCTTTGTCAGTCTTTCTAGAGGCTTATCAATTTTATCATTCTTTATAATTACCCAGCTTTTAGTTTGATTGGTTTTTCTCTATTTTAATTTCATATGTTTCTGCTCTTTATTATGTCCCTCTTTTGTACTTACTTCGGGTTTACTTCATTCTTTTCCTAGTCTCTCAGGTAGAGGCTTGGATTATGATTTGATCCCTTTTCTAATGTGAGCATTTAATGCTATAAATTTCCCTCTCCATAATACTTTATATCTAATGTGTTGTATTTTAATTTTCATTCATTTCTTTGTATTTGTTTTTATTTCCTTTGAAACTTCCTCTTTAGCCCATATCTTATTTAGAAGTTTGTTAACTTACAAGTGTTTGGGGATTTTCCTGTTACCTTTTTGTTATTAATTTCTAGTTTAGATTTCATTATGGTGAGAGAACATAAAATCCTTTGTAGGATTTTAAATTATTCAAGTTTATGACTCCTGATATAATCTATCTTGGTGAAAGTTCCTGAGCACTTAATGAATATATATTCAGCTGAATGAATATTCTGTAAATGTTGATTAGATCCTGTTAGCTGATGGCATTGCTTAGTTCTTCTATATCCTTACTGACTTTTTTCCTATGAGTTGTGAGATATAGATGTTGATGTTCGCAACCATAATTGTCAATGCCTATTTTGTTTGGAGTTTTGACAGTTCTTTGTGTTTTTCACACCTCCATTGTTTGGTACACTCACATTAAGATCATTACATTTTATTGTTGAACTGACTTACCACACTACATAATGTCCCTCTTTGACCCTGCCATCTTTCTTTGCTCTGAAGTCTATTTAGTCTTTTATTAATAGAGCCATTCCAGCTTTCTTAAAATGCTTGCATTGTGTATTTTTTTCTATCCTTTTAGCCTGCTTATATCATTATATTTGAAATAAGTTTTGTGGAGGGTAACATGAGGTAACTAACTGGGTCATTTTCCTTTAATCCATTCTACCAATCTCTGCCTTTTCATTGGTGTGTTTAGACAATTGCATTTAATGTAATTATTGGTGTGTTAGGATTTATTGTGTTATTTTATTTTTTGTTTGTTTCTTGTTTTTCATTCCTGTTTCCTCTTTCCTATTTTCTTGAGGTTACTTGGACATATTTTTAGTATTCCATTAAATTCATTTAGAGTGTTTTTTTGAGTATATCTCTTTATATAGTTTTTTGTAGTGGTAGCTCTGGAGATTACAGTATACATAAAATACACATACATACTGAGGTCTAGTAGTGTCAACATTTTACTACCATTTAGGATGCATTTCTCTTCTTTCAAGTGATACAGTTTTCTAAAATGTTATCTTTATGTACACTGGGGGCCACAAGAGACTGTGATACTTGTGCTTTCAACTGTCCACATAATTTAAAAACTCATGAGGAAGGAATATTATTTTTACTCATGTATTTGTCCTTTCTGGTTCTCTATTTATCATCATTCCTGATGCACCGTGTTTCCTACCATTGTCTTTTCTTTTCTGTCCAAAGAACATCGCCTAGCCATTCTTTCAGCACAGATCTGCTGGCAACAAGTTTTCTCAGTTTCCCTTTACTGAGGCAGTTTTTGGTTCACCTTCATTCGTTTTGGTTTGTTTTGGTTTCTCTCACCTTCATTCTGGAATAATGTTTTCATAGGAAATGGAATTCTGGGTTGAGGTCTTTCAGCGCTTGAAAAATGTGCTGCTTCTTTCTGACTTCATGGTTTCTGGTGAGAAATCTGTCTTCAAATTACTGTTCGCTTTTAGCACTAGACCAGTGTTGACCTTCTGACCATAGGTCAGCAGGAGGATGATCTGCTTCCTGACGTCGGTTGACTGTGGGTAACTGAAACCTCAAAAAGCAAACCTTCAGACAAGGGGGGAGTACTTTTGTAGTCCCACTGGTGTGTAAGACTATTCTTTATTTTTTCCCCAATCCCTTTTTTCTCTCCTTCTCTCATCTTGCCAGAACCAAAAGCACAAACCACTCTTAAAAATGCCAACTTGTTTGAGCTGGGCATGATCCTTTTTTGGTCAGAGTACTTTTAAAGGCAAGAAGTAAAAGCCCACTTAAGCTATCTCAAATAAAGAGAAATTTATTACTAATGTACTACAGCAAATCTTAGCTTCCTGCCCATGGTTCGTCAGCTTGCTATAGCAATTTGTTCCTAAGAAACCTTAAGTTACACACACACACACAAATCACATTCTACAAACAGTTATTTCAGTGAAGAAATGGGTAAGACTGTGAGGGGCTAGAGAGCATAACTGACTTTTTTTCCTGCAAGAATTAAAGTTTTGTTCATGGTCATCAGATCTAAACTTCACTGAATAAATCTGTTATTCACTCACTTCACTTCCCACTCCTCACCCCAAAATTTGGTATCATCTGCTAATCAATCTTTATGATCTTATATTTGCATTACTCAGCAAGGGCTGTCTTCGGTTTCTGAGTCTCATATTTCATACTCTCAGTGGTCATTGATCACCTAATGGATATCTGACTTGAGTGAGAAGTTCATGCCCTTCTACTCAGCTGTGGCAGGGGACGAAGAGCCACTTGGTTCACATCCTTTAGCAAAGGCCATAAACTGTCCTTCGCAAAGAGGAGGGCTGGGGATAAACTAGAGGCACAAGACATTCTCCCAACAACCCCTTTCCTACACTGATTGTTGTCAAATGTCAAAATAATTACAGTTTATTTTTCTTCTTTGCTAATGAGAAACTCCATACTGCATATTTGTGTGACGTCTCTAAAATCTTCTTTCCTTAGAACGCCTGACAGACAATCTCAGAGTTGGACAGACATCCATAGTTGCTGCTCAGATGTTTCTTTTTTTCAGAGTTTTGCTGCTAAGAATATCTCCCCAACATTTGACTTCATTGTGGCCAATCATGGTCTCTGAATTAGTAAGTACAAATATTTTACTCTTGAAAGCAAAGTTGAAGCTTTGTAAAATGCTTTTTCAGGAATAATGTACTATCTCATATATATCTAATGTTGTCTGCAAATGTTTTTGTCATATTTATAGCACATAATCAGCTCTTGGTTAAATAGAGAATATTTTATCTTACCCTATTATATTTGATCTCTCAAATACTCTATTGGAATAACTAAGTTATTCCAACAAATTTGTACTGTTTGATATTATTTGCCATCTTTTTAACTTTTTCCAGTTCTATTGAGATATAACTGATATATAGCAGTGTGTAAATTCAAGATGTACAACATAATGACTTCACATATATTGTGAAGTGATCACCACAGTAAAGTTAGTTAATATCCATCATCTCATTTAGGTACAAAAAGAAAAGAAAAAAATGTTTTCCCTGTGAAGAGAACTCTTAGGATTTATTCTCTTAAAAACTCTCACACATATACAGCAGCATTAACTATATATATATATAGTTAGAGTTATATATATATAGTTATACATATAGTGTATATATATATAGTATGTGTGTGTGTATATATATACATATACATATATATATATATATATAGTGTCATATGTCACGTCTCTCATACTTATTTATCTTAGAACTGGAAGTTCGTACCTTTTGACCACCTTCATCCAATTCTCCCTCCCTCTACTTACTTGCCTCTGGTAACCACAAAGCTGATTTCTTTTTCTATGGGTTTGGTTTGGTTCAGGTTTTTTTTAATTTTTTAGATTCCACATGTAAGTGAGATCATACAGTATTTGGCTTTCTCTGTCTGACTGACTTCATGTGGCATGACACCACCAAGGTCCAGACACATTGTCCAAAATGTCAGGGTATACTCCTTTTTTGTGGCTGAATATTTCATTTTATACATATATAACATTTTCTTTATCCATTCTTCCTGTTGCCATGTTTTAATATTGTGCTAATGCTGCTCTGAACATGGGAATCCACCAACCCTGCACACAAAGGTTCCCCTTCCTCCGCATCCTCGCCAGGATTCTTGTGTTTTTGACATTAGCCATTCTAACAAGCATGAGGTGATAATCTCATTGTGGTTTTAATTTGCATTTCCCTGTATTAGTGATATTTCCCTGGTTATTAGCTGACTCTTCATGTTCCTGTTGGCCATTCGTATGTCTTCTTTGGAAAAATATCTATTCAGATCCTTTGCCCATTTTTAATTGGATTATTTGCTTTTTTCTGCTGTTGAGTTGTGTGAGTTCTTTATATATTTTGGATATTATCCCCTTATTAGATACTTGGTTTGCAAATATTTTTCCTATTCTGTAGGTTGTCTTTTCATTTTGTTAATTTTTTTTTTTTGCTTTATTTGCTATTTTTTATGGACATATAAACTTTAAATACTAAGTTAGGTTTCATTTCTCTCAACTAGTAATTTGCATTCATGTTTCTTTTTAAGGTTCAGACATTCATACAGCTTGAAGAAGATCTGAAAGAGGATGAATCATTGAGGTAGGTATTGCAAGGGTCTCTGCACATATGTGAAGGTTAATGGACCTTCATAACCTTTATAAACCTAAACTTTATAGGTAGGATTATCTAATACTAAATACTATTTCTTGAAGTATCTATGAAGGGACCAGCTATTTTGACCATCTCGTGAAAGAAAAACCTTCTTATGGACATAGGCAAATGGACCACAGCAGGTGTGAATGAATTTGTAACGAGAATCTCTTTGCAAATTTGTAGAAACAACAACAAAATCAAGAGAATGAAAGTTTCAGTTGCAGATGGAGATGGGCCCTTGATGGGGGAGATACCCCAGAGTGAACTCATCTTATATTTATCAGCTTGCAAATTCTTGGACACAGCACTTTCCTTTCCCCCTGACAAGATGCCATTGTTTCAAATGTAAGTCAGAGAAGACCACCTACCCTCTTTGACGTCAGTGACTTTTCTTCGCTCGTGAGCACTTTTTCTTGTTCTTCCCTCTACAACATCTGAGAAACCACAGTATGTGTTACTAGTGGCCCACAAGCCTGCTCAGAATACCAAGTTTCAGATTGCCTGCAACATCTGGGGTTTCATGAATTTGGCTCACAGTAGTGTTTATGGATGTGTTCCCATGTGTGTGTGTCCAGGTAGTTTGGGCTACTGAACACTTTTTTAAAACAAGAGGCACCCTCTGGTGGTCCTCACTGCATTTGTGTAGATTTTTTCATCTCTTTCTTTTTAATTAAATAAATGGAATGCGCTGTCTCCAGCGCCAAGTCCGTTGGCTTTCCTTCCCTGTAGACTTAATATAGTTGCTCATATGTTTAATTTCTTGCCTCACCCCAAATGCCACTTCTCCCTGTCCTGTCTCCTTAAAGAGATCAACATGTATAAATGTTTGTGGTTATCACTAAGTGAAAAAGCCAACACTGTGGAGACAGTAAAAAGATCAGTGGTTGCCAGGAGTTAGGGGAGAGTGAGGCAGAACAACACAGGAATTTCAGGGCCATGAAACTACCCTGCATGACGCTATGATGATGGACACATGTGATTGTACATTCATCCAAACCCGTAGGATACACAGCACCGGGAGTGACCCCCAAGGTAAATTCTGGACTTGGGGTGATAACGACATTCAGTGTCAATCTACTGATTATAACATGTACTGCTCTGGTGGGGGGCATTGATAGTCAGGGAGCTGTGCGTGGCAGAGCAGGGAAGGGAGCATGTGGGAAACCTCTACTTTCTGTTCAGTTTTGGGGTGAACCTAAAATTGCTCTAAAAAAGAAAATTTTTGAAATGGGTTCTGATGCATTATTTACACATGGAAGCATTATTCATACATAATAGGCCAAAAGTGGAGAAAACTCAACTGTCCATCAGTTGATGACTGGATAAATAACATGGTCTGTACATACAATGAAATAGCAATAAAAAATGAAGTGTGGACATGTGCTTCAATATTGGATGAGCCTTGACATTATGTTAAGTGAAAGAAGCCATTCACAAAGGACCACATACTGTATGATTCTTTTATATGAAATGAGCAGAATAAGAAAATCTGTAGACAGAAAATAGATTAGTGTTTTCCTTGATCAAGAGGATATAGTGGCTTGGAGGATGATAGCTAAATAGGGAGTGGGATTCTTTTTGGGGTAATGAAAATATCCTAAAATTAATTATGGTGATATATAATTCTGTGAATATACTGAAAGTCATTGAATTGTACACTTTAAATGGGTGAGTTGTATATGAATTACATCCCAATAAAACCGTTTAAACATCTGCTTTAAGTAGACTCTGAGCCAGCATGTCTGACCTCGGATTTTATTTCCTCCAGTTATAGGTGGGCATTTGTTCCAGAAGTGGACACAGAGGGCCCCTCCGCCTTGTCAGAGCTAGAGGAGAATCACCAAGAATGCAAACCCCACACTGTTAGGATTCTAGAACTTCTAAAATTAAAATATGGGGTAAATGTTTTCCTTTTTAAAATTTATATCATGACGGAGGGGGAAGGGGCTCAGCAGTGAAGTACTTCATATGCCACTTCATTTTAATGACTTTGAATGATTTTCAGATTCTCCTTATCTGTATGTTAAAACTTAGATATAAATTCCATCTTTATTTTATCACATATATGCCACTTTCTCACCCCAAGAGGTAAAGCCTCCCGGAGACCATAGTCATGTAGCCATTTGAACCCACTGAAGCCCTTCAGCCCTCAGAGGAAGGGCCTGCTGGGAAGCACAGCAGGGGCTCCCCGAGGGGCTGGGCTTAGAGTGAAATCCTGGTGGAAAATGCCCATAGAAGACCTAGAATGTGAGTTTTTGCTGCTCTCATTAGTACTGATAATGAATTTTCATAAAGAAACCGACCTCTTCATTCTGCCGCCTGCATGCACTTTACTTTCATCTCTGACCCTTAGCAAAGCTTTATCATTTTTATGGTTTTTTTGCAGGAAGCTAGCAGCTCTGACGAGATAACCATGAAGAGTGAATTCCCTCTCCTGCGCCAACATTCTGTTTCCAGCATTAAGCAATTGATACCATTCTTCAAGACTCTAAATTGTGCCTTTAAAACCCAAAGTAAGCTGCCTGCTGACGCCCAAAGGCCCCCACCCTTGGGGTTCCCAGTCACAGGTAGCCCAAGGGTCTTGAAACAGCTAGAAGAATGTGCTGAATATGATTTTCTGGAACATCTGGGATGTTAGCCTAATACAGAATCTGTTTAATCAATTTACTGATAGTTCCATTGAAAACCAGGATATATTCTAACCAAGAAAGGAGCCAGGATAGCACCTTTTAAACAAGTCTTTTTTAATTTTGAAAGTAGATTTCAGATAATTTTCTGTTGGGCAACAAAACAGATCTCCCTAAATGTCTTGTTATATATTTGGATCTGATTATATGTTTCTTCCTCAATTTATGTAAAGAAAATAAAATTAATAATATCATCTAACGGTAGCACAAGGTCTGTAATATGAAGTAAGGTCTCAAGAGAGTTAAGAGTTGTTTTCTTTGTTAATGTAGACATGTGGGTCTCAGTATAGTCTCTAGAAATTTAAACTTGTTGAATATTATCTTTAACCTTTCACACATGTTCTTTAAAATGTTTGATGCTGCATTTTAAAACTAAAATATATTATTTTCTGAAACTGCCCATTACCATTGGCTGTGCAGCAGAGGTGAGCACTGGCAGATATCTCGGGCATTTAACTCCTGTCCTTTAAAATCACATTTGCACTGTTTAATCATGTAAGAAATACATAGTTTTCAAAATTGTGACAACTGTAACCTTAGTTATGAGCCACAGTGCACCTTGCCAGCAGCACCTTCCATTTAGCATAAATCAATCAGTGTGGTAATAGGGTATTTAATGCCTGAAACTACCGTCACGGAAACTCCCTGGTCACTTCCCATTCCCGCTGCCCTTTCTGGGGTCTCTCTGCCACTCTGAAGACATCGCTGTGCATTAAAATGATCCCTTCCTAGGCACAGACTTCTCTAGCCTGGTGGCATGTCATCCTATTCTTTCTGAGCCCCTTTGTCTTACGCAGCTGCCCTCCTTAGAATCCTGGCTTGGCACCCCTCCTCTGCTGGGCACCTTAGCTCCCTGCCAATGAGTGCAGTTTGCCTCCCAGACGTGCCTACCTCATGTCCCCTTTTCAGCCAACAGAGCATTACATGAAATCACTTTCCAAGCCAGATGATGAAACTATCCTAATGAGGACTCTCATATCCATCCTTTCTGTAGACAAAGGTGTTTTGGAATTTGACTTTATCTGTTATGCTTCTCCTGACATCCACCTGCTTACCAGTTTGTGTGCAGTGCAGAAGTGATATGTGTCATTAGCCCTAATGTAGGATTTGGGGAGCAAAGAACCATTTGGTTCCCTAAGTGATGGCTAAAAATGAGAATCAAAAACAACCACTACATACAGGTATTCATACAAATATGTTACAAATTATATGGATATTATGTTTATTTTATGTGTAGAGGTTATCTTTAAACTAAAAACATTTGTAAGTTTGGTCAGTAAATTTTAAACACTGAAGTGTAGAATCATAAATTCTGTGTAACTTACATTATGAATTACCTATAATATAATTCAAGTTATGAGTCAATAACCATATGCTGATTGATAGTTAAGATCCAGGTTGTTGCGTATGTTCATCTATCAGAATTTACAACAAAACTAATACTTATTTATATCATCAGTATCTGTTGTACTATGAATGGTAGTTCTTCTGTCCTTAGATTACAAATTTTGTTTTTTTTTTTTTTTCTTCTCCCCAGTATCTAAAACAACTTAATGGTCTCTGATAATATCATATGTAAATTGATGCTTTTTTTAAATTTATTAAATAAAAATATCAAAAGACAGTTCAACAATACATCCCTAACACAGAACACTAGCAAAGTCTTATAAATGTGATATACATATAAATCTTCTCTTTTGTCAGTAGCTGAGAGTATAGGCACTCAATTCAACTTCCTTGGGTTTGATGCTCAGCTTCCCCACATACTAGCCTGGGCAAATACTTTGTGCCTCAGTTTTGCCATCTACAAAATGGGAATATTGATGGTAAATACAACTCAGGGTTGTAGCAACCATCTCTGTGCCACCACTGTGCTCTGTATAAACAATTCGGATCACACATCCATCCGTAAAGGAGCATGTGCCCACACCAATATCTGTAAGCCTATGTGTTACATTAATTTCCGTGAGTACCAACAGATAGCACATATTTTATAAAAGAGAAAAAAGAAATTGTTTTAGACTCAATATGAGGAAAAGCAATTAGCACTTCTGATGTATCTTACTCCCCAGCAGGGGCCCTTCTGCACCTCACTTTGGGGACAATGGCTCTGACGCAGTCCTCCCTGAGGAAGTGAGTGCCGTGTGTCCCGCCCGAGGACCACAGGCCGCTGCGCTGAGGGCAAGCCGTGTGTTGGGAGAAGGGGGCTTGTCAAGGGAGGCCACCACAATGCGAACAGAGCAGTGTCCTAGCACGTGCTGCTGCAGGGCTGTTGGGAGTGGGCGGTGGGTGTGGGCACGGCCTGATCCCCACTGCTGACGTGCCTCACAGGGGCAGGCGTGGGCTGCTCAGTGCATGGTGGGCATGATGCTCTTTCTCACCACATCCCCCAGAGGCTGGAGCTGTTAGCCCTGACTGCAAAGCCAGTAGAACCAGGAATCGAAACCTAGACCTGTCTGCCTCTAGAACTCCACGCCCTCAACCCCAGTGCTGTGAAAGTGGAACAGGAAACCCCAAATGTTTTCTGCTGGTTGGAAGTGTGTGAACCACAGTTTCTGAAGCTACTCCGCTCACTTAGGACTTCCTACAAAACCCATTCCTTCCAGGACCACAGCACAGAGGTGGTTCCTAGCTCACAAAATGTAGTGAGGTATGTCTTAGAACAAATCTTATTTTTCAGTATTTGTATATTATGCCCAGTTTAAATTAGGAGTAGAAGTAGCTAGACTCTTGAGTCTGTACTTAAAGCATTGACCAAACTACCTGGGGGCACAGGACAGACTTCTGTGCCTCTGGAATGAAATGCTCTGATGTGATACCGGGTATCACTTGCAATACAGTCAGACACAGACCGATGAACATGCAAAACCAATATTTGAAAGAAAATAATATGATTAGGAATGGGACATGGGCCAGCTGAGTCCATCCATCCTGCACTAAGAGTCAACTTGTGAGAATCATGCTGGTATCTTACGTGCATGATCATACTTATATTTTCTTAAGTTGCATATTATTCCATACTATGGATTCAGTCAGACTTTGTGCTGTCTCTGAAATTCAGAGTGAAGGAAACTCCTTCAAACATTTTTTAGGATGGCGATGGGGATCCTGAGATTAGAAATCTGTCCATTGCAGTTAGAATCCAGCAAAGCAGCTATGCTTTGCAGGGGTCCTGGCACTTGTGTGTGCACAAGAATCCTCTGGAGAGCTCACTAACCCCCCCAGAGAGTCTGAATCAGTGGTTGGGATGACATTCAGGAATCTGAACCTGTAACAAATTATCCTCAATGCCAGTGCTTCCTGGGCTGCTGGGAGAAATAGTTTTCAGGGCAGTGCAGTAACAAGGATGATGGCTCTTAAGGGAACAAGGAGAAAGCCAGGAAGGCTGAGCTTATTTGGTTACTTATCCTATACGGATAGTTCTTTCCGGGTGGTTCTCCATATAAATTGAGTCTACCTTAAACCAAGGGGTAAGGAATTGGATTTTAAAATACCATGGGTCTAGGAAAAGAGTGTGACAGTTAACACACTCAAAGAGGTAACAATAGAATCACCAAATGACCCAGCAATTCCACTAAAAACCGAAAGGGTCTCCCAGAGATATCTGCACACTCATGTTCATGGCAGCATTATTCACAGTAGCCAAGAGGTGGAAACTACCCAAATGTGCATCAGTGGATGAATGGGCAAAGAAAATGTGGTCTATCCATATAATGGAATATTGTTCAGCCTTAAATAGGAGGAAATTTTGACGCATGCTACAACATGGACTTTGAGGACATTTTGTTAAGTGCAATAAACCAGTCACAAAAGAACAAATGTATGATTCCACTTTTGTGAGATCCCTGAAATAATCTGATTCACAGAAACAGAAAATAGAATGGTGGTTACCAAGGGCTGGGGGAGAACGATGAGAATTGAGTGTTTAATAGGTTCAGGTTCCAGTTTTAGATGATGAAAAAGTTCTGGAGATGGATGGTGGTGATGGCTGTATAGCAATGTGAATGTAATTTCACTAAATTGCATACTCAAAAAGGATTAAAATGATAAATTTTATGTGCTGTATATATTATCACAATAAAATTTAAAAACAAAAAAACAAATACTATGAGTTTAAAGCAAAGGCAGAGGAGACAGTGGGGGCTCCCCCTCTTCTGAGGAACAAGCCTCTGCTCCAAGCTGGGTTTTCCCTCCAGAGTCAACCGGAAGCAGATGGGACACAGAAATCTAAGGAAAAACTTGCCCTTCAAAGTTTTGGTTCTAGAAAGAGGTCACTTAACATTTTACCCTAAAGTGTAATTATGCCTCCTGGGACCCGATGGGGCTGCCTAGCCTTCCCAAAGGCCTCTCAGAGCTTATGTCTCCTCCAATCACTCAGCATTTCTTATCTCTTGCATCTCTTAACATATGTCCTTCCATCTGCTGGACACTATTTTCTCCTCCTCTTCCATCTGGCAAAGTCCTTCTTAAGTCATTTGTTGGTTTACTTAACAAATATATGGGAGCCAACCTTTAAGATCCAGACCCCTCAGTCTTGGTTGTTTCTACATGTCCTCAAGCACTACGAGGCACTTGGGCACAGGGTGGCGCTATTAAAGCGCTGCTCCTGAACTCCCGAAGGCCAAAGGGACTGGGAGAGCAAAGAATGGCTGACATGTCCATCTGGAATTCCACAAAGGTTTATTGAAGAGATCTTACAGAAGCCTGTCCTGGGCAGCCACAGGATGCAGAGAGCCCCAAGCCACTTTGGGTTACATTAGAGTCAAGGAGGAAGGGTCTATGCCTAGGATAACCACTGTGTGCACAGTGGAGCAGGGACTGACTTCTGAGTAGTATCGTTATAAATAGCTCTAGCTCGAGGAGTCCTGCCCCAGGGAAGAGTGTTAATTGTTCTAATCTGGATGGTATCTGAGGAATACGTGCATGTCAAAGAAAGGGAATGTAAAGGTGACCCACCAACCAACATGGTGGACTGGACAAGATGGTGTCACTCTTGCTCACAGACAAGCACCTAGTAATGTAATAGCCCATCGCTGGCTACAAGGCAGAGGTCTCTTTGGTGGAAGAGACAGAGCCTGTACTTTCAGTTCCCTCAGTGTCTGGCACATGCAGGAAGCCAGTACATAACTAGATGAAAAATGTAAAGATTAATTTATCTGCCCAAAATGGTACTGGAAGGAAGAAGAAAGGGGAGTAAATGTTCTATAATATGTACACAACAATATAGTTTTTGTACATCAATATCTTTTTTTATATATGCACGACCAGTTGTGAGAGAGATGATAGCCTACTTACAATAACAATAATAAAATATCTAGGAAGAGCCTGTATAAGAGCTTCTTGAAGAATACACTTCCAAAGGAATATAGAAAACTTGGGGCTAAAGGAAAGGTTTATTATGTCTTAAGGAGGAAGATTCAACATCATAAAGCTGTGAATTCTAAGTGAATCCAGAAACTTAATGCAACCCCCAAAAAACACTTGGATTTTTTTTAAGCAGATAAACTCATTATAAAGTTTACATGGAAAAAGAGGCAAAGTAGGCAGTAATTTTCTTAAAAAGAAGAGTAATGAAGAGAACTAGCCTGAGCAAATATTTAAACATACTATAAAGCTAAAAATCATTGTACTGATGAGGAAATACTCAGAAAATTTTCAAATCCCTCCCCCTCTTGACAGGTATGGTGGGAAGCCAAGAAAAGCCAAGGAAACAGGGTTTCTATTGAGGCTTCAAAAATACAGATGAATCACAAAATGCTTGGGTGCTTGGGATTGAAACAATGTAACAATGTATCCCCACTCCCCACCCCCTACCGGGACTCAGTGGTATGGAACAGTTTGTTAATCACAGTCATGGAAGCCTATTAGTTTACAATACAGTATCCGGGTAACCTTTACAGAAATAGATTAAAATATAATTAGCATTCTGAATACACCTATAGTGACCTAATAGCTCCTACTGCAACAGTTTCTGGGAGCTAACTCCCTCCTCAGCTTTGTAGTAAATGTATAAAATGCATGGCCCTGCTGTACGTGGGGCTCAGACCTTTGGAGATCACTCTCCTCTGAGCCTGTCAGCATAAAATAGACCTCCATCTCCAGGATCTCCAAGTGCCACTTGGTTCTTCCGTCAGCAATCCAGTCCAGGTTTCCGGTTTTCTGTAACAGTACCAGTGAAGAAAAAGACAGGAGACCAGTAGAACAATAGAAAGTCCATCCGTAGACACAAATGCATAGAAAATTTGCCTATAATAAAGGTGGCACTTCAAATCCATACAGGAAAGAGAGGAGGCTTATCAGTAAATGGTACTGGGATAATTGGGTAGCCAACAAGGTAAAAAGGTTGGATTCATACCTCACATCTTTCACTAAAATAAATTCCAAAAAGATCAGAGATTGAAACCATGAAAATACTAGAATAAACGAAGAGAAGATATTTACATAAGCCAAGAATGGATATAACTTTTCTTCAATAAATATAAATTCCAGAAGCCATAAGAGACAGTTCTATAATTTTGACTATACAAATTTTCTTTTAAAAATTCTACATATAAAAAGCATAAGCAAAGTAAAACACAAATGGCAAACTGAGAAAAATGTTTGACTCATATTACAAAGGGCTAATTCCTCCAACACTTGAAGAACTCCTATCAAAAGACAAGGAATAGAAAAGTGGGCAAAAGATATGAACAGGGAGTTTATATACACACACACACACACACACACACACACACACACAATTGGCTTTCAAACATGTAAAAAGGTACCCAACCTTACAATATGAGAAAAAAATTAAATTGCTCTGAAATATTACTAATTGACCATTTCAGAGATATCAGTAATAATGGAAAACAGGATTCACCCTACATTGCTATTGGAAATATAAATTGGTACAAGCTGTGTGGATGAAATTTGACAATTTCTATCAAAACTATGATAGGATGTATCTTTTGCCCCAACAGTTCTACTTTCAGGAATTTATCTGATATGCTTACATATGTGCAAAATAACATAGAATGTTCACTGTAGTGTTGGTAATCGCAAAAGTTTGAAAACAACCTGTACCCACCAATAGGAGATTGGCTAAATAAATTCCAATACATCAATAAAATGGAATGTTATGAAGCTGCAAAATATGAGGCAGCTGTTTATGTACAGCTGTGGAAGACCTCCAAGATATGTTGTTCAACATAAAAGTCAAGATGTGTAAGTTTGTGAAAGCAACCAGATTTCGCACTGTGTTGATTGAAAGATGAAGGTTTTATTTTATGTAGACAATATTCTAACCCTTGTATGGACTTAAGAAATTTCTCTCTTCCTGTCTTAGTCCATTTGAGCTGCATAACAAAAATGCTCTAGGGTAGATGGCTTAAACCACAAACATTTATTTCTCACAGTTTGTGAAAGCTAGGAAGTCCAAGATCAAAGCGCCCTGTTGGTTCTTCTTGCCGTATCCTCACATGGCAGAAGGGTTGGGGGACCTGTGTACAGTCTCCTATACAAGGGCCCTTTATAAGGGCTCCACCTTCATTATGTAATCACCTCCCAGAGGCCCACCTCCTAATAACATCATACTAGGGATTAGGATTTCAACATGTGAATCGTTGAAAGCACTTCAAACATGCAGTCTACAGCACTCCCCATAAAAATAGTTTTATCATTTAAAAAATATCAAATTCAGATTTGACATTTTTAAAATAAGGATTTCTGGGTAAGCTTGTTTCTGTAAGCACAGAGGGGTATGGTATGGAGCATATCCTTTCCCGGAAAAGCCTTTTTATTACCAACCTAGTGTCCTTTTAGCCTGTACTTGTTTGCCTCACATTTCTTACATATGAGTAAGCCTTAAGAACATAGAAGTCCACCGTATGCTCGATTGTGTTAAAAAAAAAAAAAGGTGAGGTGGGGAGAGGGGGCATAAATTTGTATGCACAGGTAAGTATTTGCTTTTATGTGAACATACTGTTGTCTATGCCTGTTGCTACTCTAACAAATTGCCACAAACTTAGTACCTTAAAACTAGAGAAATCCATTCTCTTTTGGTTCTAGAGGTCAGATGTCTGGAGTGTGTTTCACTGGGCTGAAACCAAGTTGTGTGCAGTGTCTCGTTCCTGCTGAAAGCTCTTCGGGCTCTAGCCCGGGGTTTCTGTTCAGCCGAAAGACAGGCATGAGCAGGCTGGAGAGAGAACAAAGTCAGTAAAGCCCACTGAAAGGGACTCAAAGAGTTAACCAGATAAAACAAGAGGCCAGAAAGAACTGACAGAGTTAATCCGTTAATTAGTTTCAAAGGGCAGGGAAATAGGACAAGAGTCACAACATTATAAAATCTACTTAGCCTGAGAAAAAGGCCCAGTTTATTCTTTAACTTAATCTATATTCTGTTGTTCCTCCCAGCCCTTTAATCAAGTAACTTTGTAACCAGGACGTGAGATAGACCTCCAAAGTATAAATAAACCTATGTGAATAAAGAATGCCAAGATCTGGACTAACACAATCACCTAAATAACCCTATTCTTAAGGCAAAACTTCAAAGGAACTATAA